TTGGCCTGGGCTCACTTGGACCTTTATTTGAACCACCCCCCCCCAATCCCTTTTTTTTTTTTTTAAAATGGGTTTTTATTTTGGGCTTTTTGTCTGGTATTCACGACAGCGAAATGGAGGATAGGAGAAGGGGACGGAGAAAGAGAGTGAGAAAAGGAGAGAGGAAGAGCTGCAGCAAGAACCCAGTTGAACTTGAACGCCCTGTGGTAAGGCATTAACATTTTGTGTTTGGTTAAGAGGGAGCAAAAGGACTGCTTGTAATGATATGCCCCAAGGGAAGTGTAGTTTATAGTTAACTGGGAGCTCTGGGCCATTACTGCAGGATTTCCAAGGTGTGTCTGGCTAGAACCAATTGCTGGTCGTTTTTCTTCCTATCGACAGTTTACTCTGGTGACCTCTGTTGATCAAGGACTAGGGTAAAAATCTGCCGAAGTTTCCATTTAACAATGGTACTGGCTCAACAGCACAAGTGTCTTCTTTCGTATATTGGGTATTGTGAAACTGATAATAACATTTTTTTTTTTTTTTTTTTTACAACTTTGTCCCAGCGCGAGCAAAGGGCCACAGGGTTGGGAGGTCAAACCCGGATTGCTGTTTGCAGAGGAGCTCAACATTAATACATTGGCACTTCTACCAGGTGAGCACCAGGGTGCTTCTAACAAGTTGTAAAAATACAGGCTCCTTTGTGCTTTTATGGCTAGCATCGTGTGTGTTGTGTTTTGTGTCTTTCTGAGTCATCTGATCAACAGTCACACCAATTAACTTGGAATTTTTGAGTGTATTTCTGCAGTTTAAAAGCAAGGAAGAGTCACAGGTTTTGGAAGGTCAAAGAAATACAAATTTTTTTATTTAAGTGTAAATAAGAGAAGCCAACCAAAAAACTGCCTATAGGAAATGTTTAAAGCCACAGAGTAAACGAGAGAGCGGCAGGTGGCAATAATTATAGGTTCCCTCTCCTTATTTAGACTGAAGACCTGACATCTGCATTAAACTCAGCACATGTATGAAGTGTGGTTTTAAGAGGGAGGGAAGTGTGCTGGCAAAGACAACACACACGCATACACGACACACACAACTGACGCACAAACACACACAAACAAACACACAAAGGGTTTGATTGTTGACTGGATAAACCACGACACATTACACAAAGCGGCGGCTGGCTGAGGAAGTTTGCTAGGGCAGCACCCATTTAAACAGCTGGCCACCGGGCTGCCACTCTGCTTCTTGTGGACTGTTAGGAGGATAGCATTCAGTAATTTCTGCTTTAGACAACACAGATGCGCGCAGCAACACAGTACCCACTCCACACACAAGCAGCTGCTGGGGGGGGAGACAGAATGCATTGTTCTTTGATTGTGCTGGCGGTTACGTCCTTGGATCGACACACCGCCCACACTCTGATGTTTTTAAAGCGCTGTTTTTTTTTTTTAAGATACAACCACTGTGCTGCATTGGTTCCACTATCACCACCAGATTGATTCCACCCTAGATACTCTAAGGTATTGCTGATGGTGGAAGCATTATTCATAAAAGGTTAAGGAGACAATGTTGAGTATTTTTCTGGTTAGTCTTGTAATGTACCAGCGGCTGGTTGTAGAGTGAGCGCAAACAGCTCCCATTAACCTTTTCTTTCACAGAATACATTGCATAAAGGGGGCAGATGGAGCTCAAGTGCGGTGGAGAGTATTTGGTATGTTTTGTTGAGAAAACAAAAATTGCAAAAAAGCAACACAAACCAAGAAACAACAGATTTTAATCAGGGGGAACTAACCAAAAGCCTTGATTGTTTCAGATTTAGGAAAAGCTTATAATATTGTATAAATAGACACACAGAAGAATCAGACTAGTACGGAGAGGTCATAACGGGGGGGGGGTCACTACATCATCACTACGGGACACATTTCAATAAGACACCTGCAGAGCAGGGCTGCTGAGAACTACCTGAGTTTTATTTTTTTCCTTTCCAAATTTTCCAACCTTTTTTTCTTTCTTTTCTTTAGAGTATACAATCAATAAAAGGAGGTCTACGACCTTTGCACACGTCACCTGATGCAGCTTTGCTTTTCCTCTCTTAAAGCCATGAGAGGCCAGAAATAAAATGGTGGACTAAAACCATAGGGGCCCTATAAAAAAAAACCAAAAAAAAAAAAACCTTGCTGAGCAGGAGTGCAGTCAACCAATCACATGCTCAGCAGCCATCACCAAACTTCCTGGATTCTTGTAAAGACAAGGAAAGAAGCTGATTGCTAGTTAGTGCTGGAGAAACCTAGCTGCTCCTCACAGGACAGTGACAGAGTTCCTATTACTAGGTCAAACCCAAAATGGCCACCATATGGATTCATCATTGTTAACGTTAAAGTAACACTCAGGAGGAAGCTTTCACAGCTTCCTAAAGTTACAGGGCTTGAGTGTGAATGTTAACATGTCTACTCACATTATGCATATTAGAGGGAGTTAAAGAAAATTAAGCACTGATGGTCCAGGGGCCCTCCAGCCTTCTGCATTTATCTGAAAACTCAAACCTCTATTGGTTTGTCAGGAATCGAGGTATGGCTGGCTGAACAGGGTGTGTTCTGCAGAGCCTCTTGAGAACAGGAAATACAATCGCAAAGGTCAAAGGTTAATTCCATTCAACGCAATCCTAACACACATACACATCTTTGGGTATATATTTTGGTAAAAACCATCCCAATAGTCAGCTACCCACCCCATCTGAGTTTTGAAACACCTATCTGAGAGACGTCAATATAATACAAGGACTTTTTAAAGCATGCAACAAAATGAAAAACAAATAAAGGTTTAAAATACATTTTTCCTCTTTAAGAGTGAAGACCTAAGGATCTTAAAGATAGAATTCTGCAATCTTAATAAAAAAACGGATGAACATGAATGAACATTTCACAGAGTAATACTGAAAAGCAAAAAACTAGGTGTTGTGTTCAAAGCAGCAGGGTGTGTGGAATCAAACTGGCTCGCCATCAATGTGCTAAATACTCCACTTAAATAATAAACCAGCCAGTTGTCACGCGTTAGGCGTAATCCTCTGATGTGTTTGTTTAACAGTCCGAATGGTTGAGTTTATACTTGTCTCAAGGTCCTCCACAACCAACATCAAGCTTCCTAAAATCCACACTGAAATCTTGGTAAATTGTGCTGAAATTAGAGAGTCATTCTTGTGCATTCAAAGGCAGATTTGTGAAGTTCCTAACTCTTTTAAAGAGGCCACATCCTCTTCCCCTCACCCCTTGCACACAGTAACTAAGTAAAAGTGGAATCTGCATGTTCATCACTATCATGAGGTAAAGATAAATGGGGCCCAGCCCTCTTAAGTGCATCCATTCAGAGAGCGAGGATTTATTCTCAGGTGCTCTGATTTAACATTTGTTCCTATGATATAATGGTCCAGAGACATTTGTCGTCTATAACAGCGTGGTCCAAATGCCAACCCTGTTTGGCACAGAACTCTCACAGATCATTTTGGCACAATGCTTTCATCTGAAATATTTGGTTTCTTGATGATAAAAGGCATAGACTACCAGGCAATTTACAGTAGAGGGTTGGAAGATGGAGCGATGATCATAATACAAATTTCATTTCAACTCAAAACAGTACCATGATCTTTGGTCCTAGAGCTATGGGACATTTAATGTACTGTAACACGAGAAGATTCAAAGAATGAGGTATCTTTGTAATGCATAAATATCTGACAAGGTATGCTTAAATAAAAGAGTAAAAATGAGGTATTCAGAATGAGTAACAAGTTGAGGTATATGAATGTTTAAATGCACAGTAGCAATGAGGGACATATGAGGTATTCAGGAGTTAAGGTACACGAGAAAGGAGGTAAAACGACGGCACAGGATATCTGAGATATGACGATGTAAATCCTGATCATGTGCAGGCGGGCCCTCTCCTCAGAGGTGAGAGTCAGTCGGAGAATCTTTCCATAGGTCCCAAGATTCTTTGCTAGGCTAAGGAAGTGGCTAACAGAACCTTAATTGTCTAGTGCTTCCAGTGGGACACAGATTGAACGAAGGGCAAGGGGATTTAAAACCCCACAATGCCTTCACCACAAAGAGTTAATATCAATTAGTTTCTATGGTAATTAGACTGGGATACAAAGGCTAATCTGAGATGCTACTTGGAGCCTATGGGCCGTCTAATAATACTAAACATGGGGCAACGTTTGATGGGCTGAGGGGATAAATGCGAGGGATATAAAAGGGGTTCTCTTTGGTGTGGGTATTTTCTGTTCTCTACACGAACATCCCTGCAGACGGACGAAAAGGATCTTCTTTCGAAACCTGCCTCACACAACAAGGGCCTTGGTATTAGCAGGATGTGAAAGTACTCATGCACAATAAACTGCGACCCAAGCACACTTTATTAGTCTAATCCTAATATGGGCAGTGCTATGAACTCAACTCCATGAGTTTTATGAACTTCCCAGCAACAATGATTATTTTAAGATAACGTTTTAAAGGGGCTTTTTTAGTTTTCTTTAATTGCCAAATCTACGGTTGGCCATTGTGCAGAAATTCTAACTTTGGTTGACTCCAGTAATTGGTCTATAGACCTCCGTCTTTAGAGGAATCGGTCTACTAGCGCTCAATCAGGAGTGGTCTCCTCAACTACAAGGATCAATAAATAGGGCAGGGCTTTATGATCACACCCTCTCATTGGATTGGACTAAACCCTAGGCCCCACGAGCCAGAGGGGGTGGCTTTTAACCACAATCTAAATCCAAAGGATTGTAATGTTAGGCCTTTCATTTGATGTCATTAATGTCCTCTGGACAGCCAAATTAGGAGTCTACTTGTGAGACTTTTGTCACACAGCATGCCTTACCAAAAAGGTGTCATTCAATTACATGATTAAATCTCTACATTAAAATCACTAATAGATCCAGACCTTAGAAAATCCATCTCCAAAATCCTTGTGTGGGTCCTCCCTTTTGAAGGAGACGCTGCTCTCCTTGCATACTAATCTTTGCATCTTAGTTGTTCATGCAACTGACTGGATAGTAGCGACACAGGTTGTCTTGTTTTATCAGAAGCATTACTTCATCCAGTCTTATGCAACACAAATGGGGGCTGGGGTGTATGGATCATCAAACACTCTGGATTATTTTAGTACAGGGCTTATTTTGGGGATCATTTCAGGGGTCACGTTGGAGATCATTCCCTCAACTCTATTTTTTTTACTTATAATAAATTCATCAAATCAGCATTTGCTAGTAAAGGTAACGGGAAGAGTCTGAAAAGTACTGATCATTTTAATCAGTCCTACCGTAACCTGGGCTAATTTTGATTCTATCGAGTTTGGCATCGCTTTGTGCACTCTTCTTAAGTTATCATGACACTACGAGCTCCACAAAGCCACAAAGAGACAAGCGTTGATGCATAAACAAAAAACTAAGTAGCCTAAAAACATGAATAGGACACTTATGTACCCTAGTTTCCTCCCCGAGCGAAGCCCTCTAATGAGAATAAATCATGCAGCCTCTACAGCGGTCTGAGTATTGTCTCAGCAACAACATTCAGGAGGTTAACTTTAACTCATATTTCAAAATGCACAGCATGAATACCATTAATCCTGTGCAAATATCAACTGAACAGTCTATTCTTTTTTTGTCTCTCTTAAATAGCAAAGTATAGAGGTAGACTTTTCTTCTTTGTAAAACTTCACGGACTAAAACCTCTGCTCAGTGACTATGAGTACATTCATAAAGAGCTAAATGAGGTAGTTATGGAGCAGAGGGTACAAGATTTCAAGAAAAGTGAGAAATTCCCTGAGATGGATATTTAAGGAGAGCTTAGACAGAGAATTCAGAGCAGCTGAGACAGAGGAAGGGAAATATGGCTCATTTTCTACTGATTATCAATTTGTAGAGGTCCCCTTTGTCATAAATACCACAGATATCTGATTGGGAGAATATCAATGCAAATGAAAAAAATTATCACTTATAGTTTTAATTTCCCTTTGCTTCAACATGCTCTCAATCCTCTCTGGGCTCTCCTCCTGTTGTGTCTGTTGATTCATTCTCTCTCCTCCATTTCCTTCATTGAAAAAACTGCAAAAGGGTAAACGGAGGGAGAGAATGCAAAAATAAACGTTTGTTGTTTTTTTTTTTTAGAACTTGAGGATGCGATTATTTCCAAAGTCAACGACCACAATGACTCCATCAGGCGTCACAGCCACACCAGAGGGTCGATCCATCTGTCCAAAGCCACTCCCCTGTGTGCCAAATTTGCATAAGAAGTTTCCATTGGGCTCGAACACTTGGACTCTGTGATTACGGGAGTCCGCAACAATAATGCGGTTCTCCTGGTCCACGGCAACGCCCTGGGGCCGCAGAAACTGGCCGTTCCCGGTGCCCTCGGAGCCCAGAAAGCGAGCTGACTGGCAGTCTGGCCGGATTACCAGGAGCCGGTGGTTGTTGAAGTCGGTCACCACCAGGTGGTCTTCGTGGTTAAAAGCCACTCCTCTGGGAGAGTCAAAGTGTTTCCACAGGGCCCCCTCAAAGCCATACTTGTTGAGGAAAGAGCCGTCAGGGGCGAAGAGCTGCACACGGTGGTTCCTGGTGTCTGAGACCAGGATCTTACCCTCAGAGTTGACAGCCACATCCCAGGGATAGTTGAACTGCCCATTCTTGGTACCCTTTTCCCCAAACTTCAGCAGGAACTGACCCTCAAAGGTAAACACCTGTCAGACAAAGCAAATGTCTTAGGGCTCAACATGTTTACATCGGCAGTGGAGAGAGAGTAAGCATGAGGAGCTATGTGTTTACATATGTGTACATTAGTGTACAAGTTTTCAGAGGCTAACATGCTTTTTTAACTTACACAATTTGATACTGTTTCAAACTTCTTTTTTACTTTCCTGTGGCTTTTGGTCATTTTGATCCACATTTCAATACAATAGAATTATGGAAACTTAGTAAGCAGAAATGTGTAGATTGTGTTTAAGTGGGTGTTCATACCTGCACACGGTGATTGTCCTTATCAGCCACAATGATTCGTCTCTGACTGTCACATGCAACCCCGGCTGGACGATCAAACTGACCCGGCCGGGAACCCAGAGAGCCAAACTTATGGTGGAAAGCACCACAAGGCTTGAATATCTGGAGAGGGAAGGAACAAAAACACTGCTTATTAATACCACTTTAATGTTACAACACTGAAGCCCTCACTGTGTACCAACTGTCCTGTAAAGCTCTCACGACAACCTGAATGTTACGTGCAACCTAAGTTGTATTTTTATGTCGTTTTTTACAGACTGTAGACTCTTTGCTTGACTTTCTAGCACTCTAATATACACACAGCTAATGTCTTCACCAAGCAAAGCAATACACATATGTGAGAACCACTCAAGCACATGGAGTGTATGGTAAGTTGTTAAGGTCCGCCTGACTTTTTTTCCTATTAAATACAGTGCTATTTTTAGTTTTCCTATTTTCATCAATTCATCACTACAGAAACCTTTTAGCTGTGAGACATCACAATAGTGTGTGTGTGTGTGTG